CGTATTCGTCTCATACCGCGTTGGTTGCGCGAGATAGCGATAAAGGCAAATACAACACAGTTTACCACAGTGCAGTACCAATATAGTAGTGACTAATGAAATAAGTTTTGTAAATAATAGTAATAATCAATATAGGATAGATACGTGGTACGAATATAAAACAATATAATTATAAAGGCATATGACCACGAACGCCTGATATCGTTGGCTTAAAATTATTATATTTGATAAAGTACAATTAATAGACGTTTCGGTCTTCAATGAGACCTTCTTCAGTATTAGAACAATTAAATGTGTTACGCATAATTATAACATAATTTAAGACTTAAAATTAAATTCTTACAAATATCAGTATTATTTTGGCTGTTACAAAAATCCGTCAATACTTTACTCGCAGAAGTTTTTTTCTTCCCCTTCTCATTTCTTACTAAATGTGATTTTTATTTTCGTTTAAACGCAATAGTTCCATACCAGTTTGTTAGTCTGAGTAGATCTTGAAACGTATACCATGAACAATATGTAAGCAAATTCTCTCGATGTATATCCACACAAAAATTCCAGTTTCTATTAGATAATATATACAATTGTAATTTAATTAATACAATACATCGTGTATTAAACACATTAGTTATTTTATAAAATATTAGAAATTACTCAATCGGATTTAATTTAATAAATTATGATAAAATAATCTAGTCAAAAAATACAATAAATAGTTGTCTTATACAATAATCGGAATACTTAGATTCAATTTCCAACATTGTAATTAAATAATATAGTTAACTAATTGTCAAAAGATAAAAATAATCCCAATAGGTTTTAATATAAATAAATATTTTAATAGAATACCTGTGTCGAAGATGAGATGATTTGCAATCAAGAACGTGGAAAATTCATGTGATCTCAATCAATGCTAAAACCGTTATATTAACATCTGTACAATTCTGACAGTTTATATACATTCACTGAGTCAGCGATAGAAAGTTCTGGAATCATATAGAGGACGATATGTTTAATAACGGAAAGTATAATTCGGATAACATTTCAGTGTCGTTTTGTTTACTGATTCCTTTTCTTTGTTTTTTAATATAAATCATTTCTGAAGTGAATCTTTTTTGAAAAAAAGGTTCTGTGTCTAAAATTTCAATGTTATCCCAATTAAATTTGTGTTCATATTTGATTTGATGCTGTGCTACTACATTATGCACTGTGTTAGAATTGGAAGTGCTTGATTTATGCTCTTTCAGTCTCGTTTTTATTTTTCTCTTAGTTTGTAGATATTTTTAATAGAAACTGGATCTTTTGTTGAACATATATCGGAAAATAATTGCTTAAATATTGTTATAAGATTACTATATTGCGTTTTTTTTATTTATTTTTTAATTATAATTTAGTAAATTAAATCCGATTGAGTAATTTCTAATATTTTATAAGATAACTAATGTGTTTAATACACGATGTATTGTATTAATTAAATTACAATTGTATATATTATCTAATAGAAACTGGAATTTTTGTGTGGACATACATCGAGAGAATTTGATTACATATTGTTCATGGTATACGTTTCAAGATCTACACAGACTAACAAACTGGTATGGAACTATTGCGTTTAAACGAGAATAAAAATCACATTTAGTAAGAAATGAGAAGGGGAGGAAAAAAACTTTTGCGAGTAAAGTATTGACGGATTTTTGTAACAGCCAAAATAATACTGATATTTGTAAGAA